AAGCAAATTCTTCAACCTCTGGAAAGGGTTCAGGCCCTTCTCCCTTCTGAATCTATAAGTTCCTTGCCTCATCATCCTGATTTACACAGGCCTCAGGACCTCAGGGTCCATTCTTCTCTACCAGAATGGGAGGAGGTTGATGAGGAAGGAAGGCCTTCACCATCTGAACACAGTTACTCTTCTCATTCAGAGTGTGAAGAGGGTGAGATTTTTGACCAAAATCTTTCAGAGGAAGAGGATTCTCGCCCAGAGCAGACATCCTCTGCATTGGTCTTCAAACCTACTCTCTTCAGGCCATTACTCAGCAAGGCCTTGGTCAATGCCAAGCTGTCACCAGAGGAAGTGGCTCCCGAGCCACAAGGAAATCCCTCTAGCCAAGGGGATTCGCTCTTCTCCAACCCTGTAGTGCATGCAGAGGTTTTGCCTTCTCCCATTTTGCTCCTGGACATGGTCAAGGAACACTGTGCTTCTCCTTCGGCAGGTCCTCGCCCATCTTCTCTGGATAAGCGTTTCTACAATGTCAGCACAGCTCTGGACAATGCCCTGGCAGTGCCTTCTGTTGACATTCTGGTTCTGGCCTCATTCTCATCTTCTGGCACTCCCACGGATCCAGAAGATATCCTGAAACCGGATGATAAACGTTCTGAACAGACCCTCAAGTGCAATCACCAGGCCGCTGCTTGGGCTGTTCGGGCTTCAACAGCAGCATCCTTTTTCACGAGGGCATCCATACGGTGGCTGCGCCAACTCCAGAATAGATTGCCTGCTTCTTACCTTCGGTCTCACCAAGACCTTAATAAGCGGCGGAATTCACTGCGGATGCCACTCTCAATTCTGCCAAATTTGCATCCAAGGCCATGGCATCTTCTGTAGCAACAAGATGACTTTTATGGCTCCAAAATTGGCAGGCGGAGTCACGCCGAAAATGGAAGCTGGCTTCAGTTCCATTTGCAGGCGATAAGTTTTTTGGCGATGCTCTGGAACCTTATCTCATTGAAACCAGAGATAAATGTAAAATTCTCTCTTCCTCTGGGAAGAAAGCCGACTATCACCCTGCTCCTTATCACCCTCCTGCCTTCCGAGTAGAGACCTCATCTCGCTTCCCCTGCTCTCAGAGGCTGTACTCCCAATGCCAAGACCAACGGGTGGAAGCATCTGGCAGGCAACAACCTTCTACTGGTAAACGACCCTTTCGGGGGGGAGGGGGCATTCCTTCCATCGTTCTAAGTAATCCCTTGTTCTCCCCACCCATAGGAGGTCGCCTAGCCTTCTTTGCCTCCAGATGGGAGGAGTCAACGATGGACGCCTGGGTGCTCAGCACTATTAGGCCAGGGTTACAATTGGACTTCCTAACATCACACCCCCCCCCCCAAATTTTTGATCTGTCCTGTCTCTCGGGACATTTCCAGGCAAGCCCTCATGAATCAGGCCATTCAGCACCTTCTTGAAATCAGGGCTATTCAATCTGTTCTCCCCTCTCAACGGGGACATGGACTTTACTCTCACCTTTTCATCATTCCCAAAGCCTCGGGGGTGGCAAGCCATCCTTGATCTTAAATTTCTCAACCAATTTGTAAAATACAGGCGATTTAAAATGCAGGCTCTGCATTCTATTTTAGAGAGCGTTCGGGAGGGCAACCTCCTCTCTTCCATTGATCTCACTGAGGCTTACCTCCACATCCCAATTTGGCCTCATCATCGCCAGTTTCTCCGTTTCTGTTATCAGAATACCCATTACCAGTATCGAGCATTTCCCTTCGGCCTCTCATCAGCTCCAAGGGTCTTCACAAAGGTTCTGGCAGCATTGATGGCACCTCTGCGTTCTATTCCAGTGAGGATCCAATGCTACTTGGATGACATTTTGATTCTTTCCTCTTCCATCCTTGCAGCCCATTGGGATCTGCAAATTACCCTGTCATGTCTCCAGAGCCACGGATTTTCCATCAACACCAAAAAGAGCCAGCTGTCTCCCACCACCAAATTGCAACACTTGGGAGCAGTCATCAATACCATGTCGTGCCAGGTTTTCCTGCCTCCAGCTCGTGGAAAGAGCCTTGCAAAGATCACCAGCCAGATCCAGCAACATCAAATTGTCCCCCTTCTCTGCTATCCAAACTTCTGGGGAAGATGGTCTCCTGTATTGGCATTGTCCCGTGGGCTCGGCTCCATTCCCAACCCCTCCAATGGTTCCTGCTTCCCTACCAACGAGCAGGAACCAGCCACTCATCCATCAAGGTTCCACTCCCACCACAAATCCGGAGATCTCTCAATTGGTGGCATTCCCCGTCAATCTGGAGGGGACTCCTGTTCAGGGACCCAGACAGGCTAGTGATAACCACCGATGCCAGTCTCCTGGGTTGGGGCTTCCATATGCAGGATCAGATAGCTCAGGGTGTTTGGTCCAGATCAGAGCAGACCCTTCCCATAAATTGGCTAGAGCTCAGAGCCATTTTTCTGGCTCTCAAGCATTTCAGGCAATCAGTGACCGGCTCTCATGTTCTAGTCCTTACGGACAACATGGCCGCAAAGGCTCATGTCAACCGGCAAGAGGGGACAAGGTCCAAAGCCCTCATGAGAGAGGCTCTACGGTTGGGGCAGAGTAACACCTGTTGTCGATCTCAGCGGACCACATCTCTGGGGTCGCCAACTCCCAGGCCAACTGGCTCAGCAGGAGCCTAGTCGACCAGGCAGAATGGTCCATTCCTCCATCTCTATTCAGGGATCTTTCCCTCAGATTTGGATCACCGAAGGTGGATCTCTTCTCCACTCCTCAAAACGCCCAAGTCACCAGATTCTTCACCAGGTTTCCTTGCCAGGGAGCGGAGGGGACCAATGCTCTTCGATGCAGATGGCCCAAGGGTCTCCTCTATGCCTTTCCCCCGCTTCCCATCATTCCGGCAGTAATTCAGAAGATGTTGGAGGAACATGTGGAGCTCCTCCTCCTGGCACCCTATTGGCCAAGGAGGCCCTGGTTTGTGGACCTGGTCAACCTATTGGTGGCTTCTCCATGGAGGATCCCAGCCCATCTAATCTCCCTTCACCAGAGAGCCCTGTTCCACCCAGAGCCCCAGTGGTTCAAGCTGACCGTGTGGCACTTGAGCGGCAGCGGCTAGAGGAGGCTGATCTTCCAGAAAGGGTCATCCTCACTATCCTGGCGTCTTCTACAAGGCACATCTATGATGCCACCTGGAAGGCTTTTTCCTGATGGTGCCTCAGGGAGGGTCTTTCTCCTGCTTCAGCCCAGTTGGCAGAAGTTCTTAGCTTCCTTCAGCATGGGCTGGAGAAAGGTTTGGCCCCCAACACCTTACGCAGGCAGGTTGCGGCCCTCTGCTCGGTCCTTTCATGGGGTTCACTTCCTTCCTTATCCCATCACACGTCAGTCAGGAGGTTTTTGAAACGGGCTTCCAACCTGCACCCTTCGGTGGTTCACAGGTATCCTTCCTGGGACCTTCATATGGTCCTTAATGCCCTTACAAAGCCTCCCCTTGAACCCCTTAGGACAGTGTCTCTCCATTTCCTGACTCTGTAGGTAGTGTTCCTTGTTGCCATCACTTCTGCCAGGAGGGTTTCTGAGCTTGCTGCTCTTTCCATCAGACATGCCCTTTGTTCCTTTCACAATGATAGGGTTGTTCTTTGTCTGGACCCCTCATTTATTCCGAAGGTTAACACCTGGTTCCACAGGTCCCAGGACATTGTTTTGCCTGACTTTTGTCCTCCCCCGCACCATGATTTAGAGTGGCAGTGGCACACGCTAGACGTAAGAAGGGCTCTTAGAATATACATTAAGTGCACTTCCTCCTTCAGGAAGTCGGAAGCCATGTTTGTTTCCTTTTTCCCTTCTCACTTGGGGCACAAGGCCTCTTCTCCTACTATTAGCAGGTGGGTCAGGTCTTGCATTGAGCAGGCCTACAAAGCTGCGGCCCTTCCGGTTCCCCAAGGTCTGGTGGCGCACTCTACCAGAAGCACGGCCACTTCTGCTGCCTGGGCGACCAAGCACCCTCGGAGGAGATCTGTCGTGCCATCTCCGTCTCCTTTCATCAGACACTACTGTCTGGATGCTTTTGCCTTGGCGACTGCAGCCTTCGGCAGACGAGTGCTTCAACAAGTGGTTCCACAGTCGGTGTGATGAGCCAGACGAGGACCCGCCCGTGAACATGCAAGCTTTGGTATGTCCCATCCTGGGCTCTTGATGCAGCATGGAGGAGAATGGGCGTTGGTAGAAGTTACCGTGAACGCCCTTTCTATCTATGCTGCGAGATAGCCCAGCCCCTCCCTTGATTCGTCCGGAGAGGGTAAGACATATTTCTGTATTTATTTTGGGCTTTCAGAGACACTTTTCAGTCTGTCAAGTATCTTTGCCAAAGCTGGGGTCTCTCCCGGGGGCTGGCTTTTATATCTTAGTACAGACTCAGCTAATTGACGTCATAGGAAGGAGTCAACCCATCCTGGGCTCTCTCGCAGCATAGATAGAAAGGGAGTTCACGGTAACTTCTACCAACGCCCATTTTATGTACAGTGAGAGTATTTGCACCAAGACAAATTCCTCGTATGTCCAATCACACTTGGCCAATAAAGAATTCTATGAAGTATTCTATATGGTCTTAATGTAATACAAACACAACAGAGATAGCACAGTATCGCTTATCCTATGAAGAATTGAGTAGCAATTATATTACTAGAGTGGCTCATATGCACAACCTACTCTGGCAAAGGATCAGTCTTAAGTTTGAATGGCGTAAGTAGCTTAAGTGGAGCCTCCAGGAGAGGTCAAACCAGGCAAGATGGTATCTGTAGCATTGCAGTCCAAGGCCTGCCCCTTTAAATGTTGCACATGTCTAAGAAGGGATATAGCTCCTTACAGCATGTAAAATACTTTCAAGGTATCTCTGAAATTTATTAGCCATATGAGGACATGGTCAGAATGAAGTATGTATCATTTCCATTTCAGCCATGCTTAAGAGAAATTATCTGTTGTTGTTTTGTTGTTGTTTCTGTTATAGATCAGACTTATTGTGATCGTTTGCAACAGGACACGGCTTTTCTGACCAGCAATGGCAGACTGAGTGAACAGCTGGTTGATAAAATCATTCTTCAGCTAAATCGAGTTTATCCCCAAATTCTCACCATTAAAGAAGCTGAAAAGGTAATCAAGAGCAAATGGCATCTCCAGATACATATTAATTTTTCTGTGCTCATTTTATGCAGTTAGAATTGCATTCTTGAAATCTTTTTTTTTTAATTCTAAAGCTATAATATCTAGATGTGACTGAGAAAGGGTAAGATCCAGAAAGCAATACTTTCTGACAGTCCAAGAATAAGAAACCAAAATGAAAACCTTCCAGTATATGAATGTGGTTCTCATACCACATTTGTAGTATATGATTAAAAAAAACTGAACAGTGCATATACATGTAGAAGACATTGATTTTACAGATGGAGATTTTGAAAGCTGAGACTTGGTCCTATGTAACTAATAAAGCCACAGCATAGAATCTTAAATATCCAACTCCCATTCTTTGTCATTTATGTAGCTCAATTCCATTCAAGTCTGTTAAATAGCAGTGTACAGAATTTCAGGAATCTCTACATCAGCCATAAGTCTGATGCTAATCAGATCTCTACACCAGCCATCAGTCTGATACTAATCATGAAGGTGATTCCAAGAACAGAAATAAATATTCTTAATATATACACTGTTAAGGGATAATTTCTATTCATATCTGAATCATGGATTCAGGTGTATGTGGTGTTTGCATAATTGATTAGAAGAGTAGTCAGCTGTTTTAAGTCACAGCTGCAGGATTTCTTTCTTTCTTTCTTTCTTTCTTTCTTTCTTTCTTTCTTTCTTTCTTTCTTTCTTTCTTTCTTTCTTTCTTTCTTTCTTTCTTTCTTTCTTTCTTTCTTTCTTTCTTTCTTTCTTTTAAATGGCATAGATGCTATGAGAATACCTCAGCCCATGGTTTTGCATGTGGGCTAGAATATTATTTCATTTCTGCTGCCTCTCTTCGCTTAGTGAACGAGGCACTTTGATACATGAGACTTTGATTCTCTGCATTTCCCCCCCCCCCCCGAAAGCTCCCAAGTCCTTGACTCTGAAGCTTGTCCTGAACAACATTTTTTTTTAAATAATTGCATTAAAAGTTTTCAAGACAAAGGCAAAAACTAATGCAAACTATATAAATAAGAAAGAAAAAAAATCAATGAAAAAGCTAAAAGTGCCAGGGAGAAAGAAAAAGAAAAGGATAAAAAGAAGTGGCTTCTTTACAGCTGTTATAAGTACAATTATACATTTCTCTAAAGTTACACAATGACATTCCACTTTCTATAATCTGCCCTGCCTAATCTTCAAAACCATACCTAAGTTTATTTTTTTCTGTATTAGACAAAAAGTCCATGAGGGATTTTCAGTCAGCAATAAAAGTAGATATTATCTTTATTCTGATTAGAGAAGTCATCTGAGTGAGTTTCATCGTCTTCACTAACTGTTCCTCCATTTTGAATGGAACAAAATGGATTCTTGAACCAAGGTTCCAGAGTGATGTCACCAGAAAATATGCAAAGTACTGTAGATCTGAACAGAAGATCAGCATGTCTGATCCCTGTTACAAAGAATTAAGTAGTTTCTTGCATATATACAGAATGGGGGAAATCTCACTCCTTCCTTCCTCTGCTAAGGCAAGGATGGTACAAGAACCCTTGTTTATTCAGGAATCTAGGATTCCCCCAAGACCTGTTACGCTGCTTGAGCAAAATTAGTCCTTCTCTGGCTTTAATAAACATCTAAAAGAGAAGCTAGGAGGGATCTCTATATTGCATTGCACATTTCTTTTAGAACAGTGATGGCGAACCTTTTTGTCTGCCAAAAGTGCGCACACACTGGCACCCACGATGCAATGCGCCCCACCCATGCGTGTGAAACACCCCCACCCCCTTACCTGCACTGCACATGCACGCACCTCCCAGCTGATTTTCGTCCGGTTTGAGGCCGTTTTTGCCCTCCCGGAGGCTCGAGAGAAGCCTCTGCAACCTTCGGAGGCCAAAAAAGGACCTCCAGAAATACCGGAAGGGCTGAAACGGGCCTGTTTTCAGGCTCCTGAGACTCCCAAGCCTTCCCTTGAACTTCCGGGAGGGCGAAAACTACCTCCCCCAGGCTCCGGAGGCCCTCCGGAGGCTAAAAATAGACACTTCCGGTATTTCCAGAAGGCCCATTTTTCAGCCTCCTGAGGCTGCAGAGGCTTCTTTCGAGTCTCCGGGAGGGAGAAAACGGCCTCAAACCAGCAGAAAATCAGCTGGGAGACGCGCGCATGCACAGTGCATGTAAGTTTGGTTGGGGCTCACGTGCCCACACAAATGGCTCTGCATTCCACCTGTGGCACACGTGCCATAGGTTCGCCATCATGGTTTTAGAAGAACATGTGAGAGCTGCTATCATTTTTTACTCCCAAGCCAAAAAATTGTAATATTCAATGACATATCAGGAAAACATATGGAAGGTAGAATATTTTTTATTCATAGGTTGTTGCATAGCTTCTTCAAGTAAAGCTCTTTTAATCAGATAGCACTTATCTAAATGGCATCAAATCTCCAAATGGTATGAACATATGCCCACACTATTTATATTTTTATTCTGTCGCTGCAGGAGATGTGTTTGTTAATATTCATGTAGAACTCTGAGTGGGATTGCCCTCTGTTTGCAATAGAACATCCAATCTGAAACATCTCCCATAGTGCACTCATAGTGTAATTGTCTCTTGTTTGCACCTGCACACGTACCTCTTCTCCAGAAAAGGAAATTACAATTGCATTATTGTGTAAAATAGAAATGAGCCGATTTACATGCCGATGAACTTCCAAGCCTGAATGCTTCCAACTGATGCGTAGGTTATGGCTTTTCAATTCAATCCAGAAGAAGTATCAAAATGTGAATATAGGCTTATAGACTTATATAGATAATTAAGTTGGGCTATATCAAGTGTGGTATGATGATTTGAATTTGCCCTTTAAGATGTAACTCATAAATAAATAAGCAGGCAATCCAGTAATTTTGAAAATACAGAATCCAACTATTCTCTGGAACTGAAGAATAAGCCTTTGAGTCCATGAGAATTGGCATAAAGTTCTGGAATCAATGATTGGCCTCTTGTTCCCATAAACTCTACTTTCCATAATGGCCATTTCTCTGTGCTCTTGCTTATTCAACCCATATCATTGGATATCATTGGGTAAGCCCAATCACAAAGGTCTATGTAGCTTCCTCATGGTAAGTGACCTTCAGAGCTACTGATTTAACTGGTGATTGAGAGAATATACTTTAGACATGTCCCTCTGCTATTTTGCATGTGTGTTAAGTAACAAAAAACACAGCCAGAACTGTAGCTATGAGAAAGATCTCTAATCACCAATTGCAAATACACAAAACTACAGTTCATATAATTATGCATAACAAGGGCTATCTATACCATTGTACATTCCTAACACCATAGCAGAAGTCTTGAGTGTATAGCATATTAGTTCCTTATTTATTTATTTAAAGGATAAGTATTTCTGCCCGGAGATGAATATTTCATCTCATAGAAAATGTTTTATTCCCATCCTGTTAGAGAAGCAACATCAACAGGTTATGTTGACTCACATATTATACTGATAAGTTTGAACAAGCTACAAACATAGTGTTGTACTCTTTCAAATGCTGTGGAAATGAGATGGGGAACTGTCTTAACATTGTACAGTAGTTGTGGTGCTAAAATCTAGTTCTTGCAATCTAAATAGCATTTTTTCTTTACAGTTTCGGAATCCCAAAGCTCCTCTTCATAGTCGGCTATCAAACCTTATAGCTCACTTGAAAAAGAAAGGGGACAAACCCTGTCAAGAATTTTACCGAGCTTTACAGATCAATGCTGAACATCTCTATAACAACTTGCCAAGCAGGAAAGTTCTAAGTAAGTTGGATGCTACTAGATTTTTTCAATCGTTGTATTTTAATTCTTCCAAATTCTTATGTTCTGATTTGTCTCGTTTCAGAAACTTAAGTGAAACTTCTACTATTCTGTTTCTTATAAATACTCGGAGCTGCCCAAGTGCTCTGACAATTAATGATGTTTGTTCTCAATTCCTATTTGAGGTTTTTTTTTGGTTATTAAATTTGATATCTGTTTACAATCACTAGGTCTCCCTGACAGTACCTAAGTATATATTTAAATATATACTTCTGCATAATATTGAGTGCTCAAGCTGCTTGTAAAACACAGGAAAGTGATATTGCTTCTGGACAGAGAAGTTAAAGGCTACAGGGCTCCATTGTGCTTTGATTAGACAGTAATCATCTATGTTTGCAAAGCTGTATCTTGGCCTAGAACAGGGGTGTCAAGCTTGATTTCATTGAGGGCCGCATCAGAATTGTGTTTGACCTGTCAGGGCGGCAATGTGGGCATGGCCAGCATAAAGTTACTCGTGTTGGGGGTGCTTGTGGTGGCCCAAGCACTCTGCCAGTGATAACAAGCTCCCGAGCTCCGTTTTCAGCTGCGATGGCCTCTTGCCATCCTCAGCCAGGGAAAACGGAGCTGGGTGGGGCCACACGCAGCCCTTGTGAGCTCCGTTTTCAGCTGGGACAGCCTCCTGAAACCCTCTGCCATTGAAAATGTAGCTCAGGAGGTTCATATGCAGCCCGCCTGAGCTCAGTTTTCATTGGCAGAGGCACCGCAGGCTAGATCCTTCACTGCTTCCAGGGCAGCCCTACGGGCCAGATCTAAGCACCCCATGGACCAGATTTGGCCCCTGGGCCTTGAGTTTGACACCCCTAGCCTAGAAGGTTAAGGTCATTTTAAGGGTGAATTTTATGCATTAAGAGAAATTCCAAAACTTTGACCTTTATTGCACAAGAGCTACATAAGTTGAAATAATTGCTTCTGCAGTATGGCTATAACATAGGCTAACATATAGAGAGACTGGATTCAGATTTAACTTAATCAAGATAAGGGATGATGCCAAATGTGTATTTGGCTGTGAAGCTATATCTAGAATATGTGCAGATTATCTAGAAAAGACTCAAGATCAGACTTAAACTTTGTTTCCTCTATTTAAATTCTTTTTGCAATTCACCCCATAATTGATTATGAATTAGTTTATACCTATGTCCATTCTACTTTACTAAACATCCAAACTCTTCCATTTTTGTGCTTGTAGTTCTTTGGTGAGAATTAATTTAGTGTAGTGGTTAAATATACCTGGTAGAAACTGAAAGACTACAAATTTTAGTCCTTTTTTCTGACATACCAACTTATCTAAAACAGTGTCAAGAACTGCAGTTCCTGATGACTTTTTCTGGATTGTAACAAAGGAAAATTTCTTCCATTATCAAATTATGTTCCTTTCAAATATTTCTGTGTTTTCCTTATAACAACCTGGAATCAGAATAATATTGCTTAGTTTGACTGTGGTTAACGTGCTGACTTAAGCTCTGAGCCAGGATTATTTTTCATCATTTGTCAGGTTTCTCGGTTCATAGTAAACTATTTGTACAATGGACAGGAAAAGCTTCAACGAGAACCAGATGTGTCGTTGTGGTTGTCTGCTCCTATCCATAATAATAGCAAAGTAATGAAGCTTGCATTGTGACATGACGTAACTCTGCTCTTTTGCACTTGTATGATTACATGACATACATAAATGTCTTTAGCGATTGCAAGGCAAACACGTTTCATCCTTGCCTCCCCTAGACATCATTGACTTTTCTTTATAATTTTGTGCATTAGTTGTCTAGACTTGATTGTTAGGATTGCTCTCCTAGCTAAAATAATATCAAGACCTGTGATACCTGATTTCTCAGAACTACCATAGAAATGATAGAACAAAGGACTTCAGTGGTTGATTTATGTTATCTTAAATAGTTCTTTTTGCAGCAAGCACATGAGGCTTGTGAAATAGACTAGTAAAGAGCACCTCTGATCTGTTTGCAATATGATTGAACAGGTTTAGTAATTCTATTTGTATCATGGAATTGAGACCATCAACTACTCTGAGAGAAGCAAGGCGAGAGCTCAGCTGAGTTTTATAGGCAACAGATTACAAATACAGCTGTGGAACTAAGTATAATCTGAACAGTAAATTGTAACCTGTCTCATTTAACTCTATACAATTTACTCCTAGGAAGGCAATGCATAACATTATACAGTAGTATTGTGTGCAAAAATCTCTATTAGCTTATATAGTGATAACAATAAAATAGTCAATTGCCATTATTTGTGTCACAGCAATGATGGGAATTAGGAACATGCTTCATTTTAAAGACCTTTATTAGAAATGTAGATTGTCTGGTATCAAGTGATTTGTAGCTTTCAATCAATACATCATTATTTTACTATGCAATGGAAAGGCAATGCGGCATATTGCTTCTACCTGAAAGAGCCAGATATAAGGGTGTATATTTTCAAAAGCTTTCCAGACTTATTTCATTGTTAAGAAGACAAGAAAAGTGTCTGCTCTTTGGCCTTTGTGAAAGCGCAAAAGTTAATCAGTTCTTTTGGTAGCTTTAGTTCAATGTGTTCCAAGAGCAAAGTAAGGGAATCAGTCAACCACATTTATTTTTGTCTTACAATTTTAGACTTGAGCTTCTCCTTTTTTTTTTACAATGAAGAGCTAGGCAGCTGCATGGATTTCCAGTGCAAATTACATGTTACATTGCAGCTGTGTATAATGATACCCTGAGGCCTTGCTGTCAGTTGTACAAGTCCTGTGGGTTTGCAATGTGCATCAGAAAAGAGACCAGAAGCACAGGCTTTCTACCACTTCTGTCAACTGGAGCTTTTCCCTACTGTAAATGCTGGTGTTTGAGACCCAATCTTAGAGTTCAAACATCGATTTTGAATACCATCTGGTAGAAACAGCACTGAGCTTGGTCCGTGAGGGAAGAAGAGCACTTTGTCTGGGAATTGCACCAATGCAAGTTGCAGCTATATGCAAACTAATATTATGAGAAATTGGTAGCTAAAATTAGATATTGTGGGATATTGTGGAATATCCAGATTTAGTCTAAATTGTCAGAGGGATTTTCTTGTTATACTGCTTCAGAATTTGATGCATGTGTTCCAGAGTGTAAATACCCATGGCAGACATACTGTGTGGAAGATTTTGGAAAGTAGAATTAAAATTGTTCTAGCAGCTGCTAATAGTGATTGAACATAATAGTAACTCAAATTTGCCAACACCTAGAGGTCTTACAGGTAATTATTGACTTAAAACACAATTGGGACTGGAATTTTGGTCTTAAGTTGTGGTGATTGTCAGTCAAGGCACCATGTGACTGGACTCCGTTTTAGGACTGTTTTTATGGTAGTTAAGCAAGTCACCATGATCATGGTTGTTGAAAGAACCACACAGTCATAAAATGAGTCCATTTTATCCAGTGGGTGGGTTTGTTTTTTTTGCTAGAAAATGGCAAAAGTTGTCACAAAAATGTAATGTGACTATTCCAACCAAGTACAGCAGTCGTAATTTCAAGGATGGATTGTAAGTAAATTTTTCAAGTCCATTGTAACTTCAAACTGTCATTAAACATCCGGTTGGTCATAAGTCAAGGACTTCCTGTAATTAGTTTTGGGGAGGGAGAAGTAAATCACAACACATCTAGAAAACAGGTTGAGAGTGGCTTTTACCTTCCAGTTATTGATGGTTGTCCAGCTTGGCATATTTCTGCTGGTGCAATTGGGGATAAGATAGATATAAATATCAGAGAGAAATAAGTGATTACAGAAAGCAATATCTATAATTGAAAATATCTTCCACAATTAAACCTTTTTGAGAGGAAAGGAAAACAGATTCCTAATTTAAGTTTGCCTTGCAGTGAAATGACTTTTAAAAAATATAACGTAGGAACAAGGCTTTCCAAGCCAGGTGAGGAAGGAGGAAGAAGGGGGGGAAAAACATGCCTTCAACACCAATTGAGCATTGAAACACCTAATGTCATTTATATCAGCCTCCCTTTATGACAGAACCTTCTCTTTATATGCAGCAGCAAATCAGCAAAACACGAGTACGAAATAGGCTAAATATAGAAGATAATGTTCGCATGAGGTTAGAGGCCACATTGTCTTGATTATATTACTTTGAAAATTAATTTCATTTTTTTATTATTTGTTTCCGAAATTTGTTGGACTATGTATAGCACTAACTCAGTGTGTTGCTTTTGTTTCTAGAAACCTCAGATTCCACAGGGATAAACCCTGAGAAGGAGAAATATATTCTAAATGACAGGGGTAAATAACATGTGTAAAATGTTGTTGGCTGCATATGAATAATAAGGTTAACAAAAGTACTACGTTAATGTGATTAATTTTGATGACATTAATCTTAAAAAATATTAATGATGCAAGCATATGCATCAGTGTGGAAAGATTAAGGTTATATATGTAAAATCCAAAAGGGGGTTAGTAGTAATTGGAACTGGGCTGTATCTACCAATCAGCTTAATGTATTTGCTGTCTTAAAATTCTGCATTTTCTAAGGATTGGGAAGGGATCACGTAAGAATGCAGTTTAGCTGTGCCTGCCTCACATAAGGTATTTGGCAAAGAATTTCAGTATGCTTTTCCCAGTAGAGCATCCCAAGGAATCGTGCCTATGATCTCCGCAATAATAAGCAGCGGGGTTCAGCTTCAACATGTATTCTTGCCACATAATTTTTGCTCTCATTTTTGAAGATTGTATAGGGGTTTATAGGTAAGGGACTGTGGGGCACTACTCAATATTTTAAACAATGACACTTTGATTTAAACTTAAATTTACCTGCTGGCTGGGTTTCCTGGCAGGTTCCTGAGTGTTCAAATATGTGCCTTACTTCCTCTTATGATATCTCTGCATATAATTTTTAAAAGGAACACTGCCTTTAGCTGCCCCCTGGCCCCTGACTCCTCTTCTCTTTTTTTCCGTTCTTCCTTTGAAGCCAGAAGGCAGGGAAGCAACTCAGCAGGCAGAGGTTGTTAACGCTGTACCAAACCCAGCACATTGTTAAGGAGCCTATTATAATATAAAAATGCACACCTGGCTCCTTTTCTTTCCCCAAAGTATGTCAGGTTTTCTCTCTCTCTCTCTCTGTGTGTCTCTCTCTGTCTCTCTCTGTGTGTGTCTCTCTCTCTTGTCTTTTTAAAAAGACATTCAATACTACCATTAGGACTCTACCCATTGACCTGGAGCTAACAGCTCCATTATTTTTGGGTGATACTCATCTCCCAAATGGTTGAGACCCAGCTCATTTGTAGTTAAGTAAAATGTGAACTGGTCGACAACATCTAGTCCGAGAAAGATTCAATATTTGTAGCCTTCACTAGGTGGGCATAAATTGGGTGAGGAAAAGAAATGGAGCTTTGGCTTTAGGGTCCTGTAAACAAGGATCCAATCTGGGTCAGTCACTGGGACCAGAACTTTCCCTGAAGATGGGCTTCAGTATGAGTCCAAAAGCTAGGAAGACTAAACCTCTGGTCCTGGTAACCGATCCTGCAATGTTACCCTGGGATATGTATGTTTGCTTTCATTCCTGTAAGCAAATTTAACTGAACCTGCTTCCAGAGCAGCTCTGGTAATGCAAGCTTCTAAATTTCTGAAGCACTGAAAAATAAATATTTTTTTGCATATTTAAACCAATTTACCAATTGTGTTTGGTTGCATAACCCTTGGCATTATTTTTACACTTAACATGTATAGATGGGAAAAGTGTCCAGTTGGCAGGGATATTGTGGGATGAGATAGTCATCATTAGTCCTATCACATCCCCCCCATATCTTATTCAGCTCTATGGCTGGGAAGGTAAACATGGATAGCCAATAGGAAACATGAAGATTCATAAGTACAGTCATTGCAGAAAAGTCATCTATAATCACATAACCTCTGTTAGATAGCACAGAAATTATTTTACATTATTTTACAATAAGACGTTATTATTTAATTTGGGGGAAAAAAGCCAAATTTATTTTATTAATATAGAATTTAAATCCCTTCAGGGATTTTCTTTTTGTAAGCTTTTTAAAAGGCTGGTGATAAAAAAAGAGTGTTACAAGGAATAAAGGCATCCATGATTCTAAGTGCATTATGAAAAATGGTGATATATTATGAAATGTGAAGGAGAAAACCAAGTAGCTGCTGCTTCTGTTTCTTTCCTTTTCTAGGTCCTACGTTCTTTTTTGCCTGCTTCAGTATTGCTGCAGGGTTAGCATTCTTCATGTATTGCTGCAATCCAGGTAATAAAAGTTTGATATTTTTCCCAAGACTTGAGCCAGTTTAAAGGGGGGGTGGGCTCTATTTAGCTTCTTTAGCTTTCTATTTAGCTTTCCGTCAGACACACTTTAGCAGAGCTCTAACCTTGGGGGGTGTCAGCTAAGCAAAGAGGGGCATGCATGCAATTATAGCGCAAAACTAGTCCCAGTAAAACCCATCATTTTCTTAAACTCTATCTGCTTTTTTCATAGGTTGATTTCTTCACTTTCCCATATTTTATATTGACATTCCGTTGTCATCAAAATTCAGAGTTTTAATTTTGATAACCTGCAATTCAGTTGTTAAGTTAGTATATATTGTAGACATTAGCACTCTTGGGAATTACCTTTCTTCTCAGTTTTGGTAAAATCGAAAGGTTTTTCTGTCCAAAATTGGAAATATAAGTTTATTGGGATAGGTACAGAGCATATGAGAGTGTCTTGCATATCTTTAGACAGAGTTGTTAAAGTCATATCTTTATTTACAGGTCTGTTTAAGATGAAACACTCCATCACTCAGAATTGGCTTAAATATCCTTCAGTAGAAGCCAATTTTCATTATATTTATAATTGATTCTCCCTGAGTAAAACTTTAGCAAGATATTTTTTGTGAAATATTTGTTGAAGGAAAAATCCAGTATGCTTACACACTTGATTCACTTTCCCCCCCACATTTCCATCTCATTCCATATTATCATTTCATTTTAGAGTCCAGAATTCTGGAAAAAGCCAAGAAGGTGCTGGGATTTTCCCCAATTATCATAGGAAGACATGTTAGCAACATCTGTATGTTGTACATGGAAGATTCATCCGGAAGACAGTAAGAATAAACAGGGCAGCATCAGATTTCCCTGCCAATAGCATGGATACTTTGCAAGCATGGATACTTTGGAAGCAATTACCTTTTCTTATACCAAAGAAATAACTCAGTTGCTTTAGCAGTCTTTGCTGCTTCAAAGGGCTTTCAGAAGATCACTTGTATTTGCCTTTTACTTGTGGAGCAGGGTTTTTTTTGTACAAAGCTTATTTTTAAAAATTATTTATCACCTTGAAAAAATATATTTTAATGCAAGTAAGCATTTTAACATGCTCTAATTCATTGCAAAGTTTTGAGAGTCAAGTCATGTATATATATATTGCATTCTGCCATTTTCTGTTTCAAGATGAGCTGAAACTTCCTTCTTAGGCTAGTACTGAATGATGGAGCCTTGGTGTGTCTCATTATTAAGAGGATAATGAAAGTTGTTCTCAGTGTTCTGCTTCATTGAGAACAAATGAAAGTTTTCCACCTATTATAAGTGTCAACCTTGAGTGTTGATGATAGAACCCATCAAGTTTTGTATATCAGCTAATCCATTATCAATTGTTGGGGTTTCTCTCTGTAAATAGCAAAAGTAATTGTATTAGACAAGAAATAATGTTTGAAATAATGTATAAGCAATTATAAGCAAATGCTAGGTGCAAATGAACCAAAAGCCTTAATGAAAGATGGAGTGTATAGTTTTATTTTTAAATGTTAAAAGAATGCTGCCTTCTTTGTTTTTAATAGACTCCAGGAGTTCACTGATATGAATAACGTAGGCAAAAATAAGCATTTGCTTCTTAGTTCAACTCTATAAGATTTCGTGTTATGTTCCAGACAGAAACTTAAGTTTGTGGCCAAGAATTTAGCCTTTATAATGTCATGCACTTTTGAGGACCATAAACTGCCTCACACATTTGAAGAGTTCTGTTCCATGAAAATTTTCATTTCTTAGAAGCTCATTTTACACGCACATTCTGCATAGCAATTTCATGGAGCATCTAGACTGTGTCATCATCCTTTAGCCCTTCTGCCTTATCTTTTTTCACCTCTCTTAACAAGGGTCGTCTGTGTAGCTGGAAAGAGTTTAGCACACAAAGCTTCAAAGGTGTGGTATAATAGAGGAGACTACATGTCTTTAAAAGCAGGGAGTGCAACACTTAGTGATAATGAGCTTTGCTCTTCCTCTCCTTATTTCCATGAATTTATCAGCTGTGAGAATGCACCTTGGATTTGTATGTACATCTTTTTTTCCCTTATATTGGAATTCAGAATATCAATACATTATACACTTAAAATTAATGCCACAGTTCCACATTTGCCTAATTTCCACCTTTGATACTCTGAATAGATAGGATCTTATCTTAGGTGTATATACTGTAGAAGTGGCCATCCTTCAACTTTGTAAGGCATATTTTCCAAAGCATTGTTTAAGTTAATCTTCTGTGGTTTTCAATGAAATTATGTTGTTTAAAGCATGACAACTCTTTGGGAGGGGGTTGGTGGAAGGTGCTGACTTACTTTAAGTATTTTAAAATTCCCCAAATCCACTTTTTTTTAAAGAAGGAAAAGGTGCTACACAATTGTATAAAACACTTAAAGTGCCTGATCATAATTGCTACTTTCTCTGGAGAAGTGAAGAAGGGCAAAAAAGAGGGTTGGAATGAACAGGAGTAGCAGATAGCAGTTGGAATATATTCCACTCTAGTCCGCCACATTGAAGGAAAGTGTTTTTACAGTGAACTTCTTTCCAGTAACCATTCACTGGAAATGAATTGAGCAGGAACTGCGTTGCAGTTTTTCAAGCAACATCAGCAACATTGAAAAGCAATAGTATGCAAAATATTCACGCCTAAACACAGCTTTAGTCTTTATATGACCAAAAGACTTTTCATAGTTTTGGTGATCGAGCAGAGGCCTGGTTCAGATGAAATGTTGAATTATCACTTACTATATATCCAAATGTTGAGGTCCCATACACCTCTCCTTTTATGGCATGGCCATGTGAAGTGACTCAGAAGCTCTTAGTTTCATATTTTCAGTTGCCTACATGTTGTTGTAGTGGTCACAGCTTAAAGTTGGCTTGTTTTAAGGAAAATATAAGTAAAGTCCTCGAGCTGAATTCAACTTTATGGACACTTTTTTTTTCCTTGAGAACAACACAGATATTTTTTATTGATGTTTTCTTCCAGGATAATTTGTAAATTTTTCAGTCCAGTAACAATCCTGGAATGTCTTGCTAATCTGACATCAAAGAACTATCCAGTTCTATCTAATCTGTTGTGCATGTTGAGATCAACCACCTAGCTGGGGAGATTTAAAATACCATTGCAAATGACAGTTTAATTAAAAACGCCAGTGAATGCATACATTCACTGGACAGCCATAGCCAAAGAGCAGAGGACTGATACTACTCTTTCTCGGACTCCAAATGGATTGTGTTTCCCTGCCAAAACAATAGGTTTAACCATGTAATTTGGCTTTTCATCAATTTAGGGGCACTTTCTGAAGAGAAAATAAAGTGATGCAAGCAGAGAGCAGGGGGTGCTGTTGTGGTGATTGAAGATGCATCTGCGTCTTGTTAGGGAAATTCTGGGTGAATTGTTCAGTCCTTAAAATAACTTTTCTTCCCACCTTCGTAGCTAAAAGGTTTGTACCTCATCATGTATTTCTTTGAGTCACCACAGGATGGAGGGAGAGCACTGCAGAGACACATGACTAACTTTGCACTCATGTGCAGGATTCTTAAAAACTGAAGTGTCGACTGCTTATTTTCTGCATAACAGGACAAAGAATGCTGTAGCACTGCTCAGTCGGACCTGATCAATTTTAAAGGGGCTCATCTATTTCAGAATACTTTATTTCTGGTGTAGAGAATAATGATCTCTGGCCAATTTAAAATATGGGATTGATATAGAAAAGAAATACAGCTTGTTTTGGTTTCAAAGTTGATTGTAGTATAAATTGTACACCTGAAGATTTATGGAACCCTTTGTGGCATCAAATCTCAAAGTGAAAATCAGCTTTGAAGTTTAAGCTATTTCTCCACTCAAATTTAAAAGTATTTTTATATGTAATTTTTATTAAAACTTTTAAAACAGAAGGTAATATCAAATGCAGATTAATTTAAAAAATGAAGAAAAGATAGAAATCAAAGAAAAACAAATATCTAAGAAAAAAAATGAAGAAAAATAAAAAAGAAAGAAAAAATATATAAGGTAGCGACTTCCAGTATTCTTCATACAGTTATGAGTACAAATGTATTTTAACCTCTCTAAAGTTACATCACATTATTATTATTCTTTCTGTAATCTTTTCTATCTAATCAATAACACCATAAGTCCAAGTTATTTTTTTTTTTCATTTTTATGCAAAAAGACCATAAGAGGCTTTGAGTCAGTCAGCATAAAAGTATTTTTGAGGCTGGTTATATGACCAACTCCATAAAAAGAGACCCTAACGTTACATACCATCATTCAAGCAGCTTTTGAAAAGAAAAAATGTCTTTCCCCCTCTCTTTTGCCAATATTTTAAAAAGTTATAGTCCAGTTCTCTAAAGAGAAAAAAAATCCCATGAGGGTGTTTCTGAGTTGTTTGCTTGCAGACATTTCATTACCCAAACTAGATAACGTAACAGAAAGTCTAGCATTATGGAATGTCTTCCAAGAAAACAAGCTTAGAGAACATTCATATCAACCCTGAGCTACAAGTATTCTCCTCTATTGGTTAAAAAAGAATCTAGAATATTCTGATGTTCAGTTATATACAGTGTGCATACAAATGACAATAAAGTTTACTTAATGTGTTATTTCTATTGATATCCTTTTCAGTGGATGTTGCTTAATCAGATCCTGATAGCATCTGCACCACAAAGATATTCCTAATATTACATTTGATGATGGAAGAGCCAGTTTGTATTCTAACCTGAACTAGCGTAATTAAACTCCTATTCTGGCTTCCAAATATTTGATTAAAATTCCCCACGTGAGAGACTAAAACTTTATCAAGATGCTCAAACATTTTCCATTACCCTTAGAGAAATTCTTAGTAGGAAATAACATTAGACCGAAGAGGTCCAGAATTTTTTCTTTGCGTGATTAGGGAACATATCTATTTTTTTAGATAACAAAAAGATTGGGAGCTCCCTCTTTTCCAGGAATAATTCACATGCCTATAGCCATCACTCCTACTGGCAATATTCCTAGAGCCCCCTACTTCACCTTATGATTTTTTTAAGATTATTTAAATTAAATAATAAACAGGAAGCTGGCATCTAGTTGGAAGCTGTTAAATTAAAAGTTAAAATTTAATAACTGGCATCTTTAAAGTGTATTATAAACATTTTTAAAAGTAAAACCTTGTGGTTTGTGCTGAAACCAAAACATGAAATTTTTTATTTAAAATGTGTTCATCTGCCCAGATAGGGCAAAAAGAGGTTTAAGCGATAAAAAGCATTCTGGACAGTAGAAGAAGAAAGCATTTTTGTATCAACTGTGCAATGCTTTGGATCTGATTTGAAAGAGCTGTTTCAGAAGGTGCAGGAATGTGAATACAGAAAATGGCAGTGATTTGTGAATGCAGCTGTGTCTGTGTGTTAATGAATCACAGGTAAGAACTGTTTTTATATTACTCCAATATTTTCCTTCCAATTCAATCTGGAGCATCACATAGCCCTAATGCACTGGCCATTTCTATTTGTTTATTGAATAAAGTTTATTTGAATGCACCATTTCAATGCTATGCATTTATTATCTCTGATTTGGCTTAGGCATAGAAGGCTCTTAGAAGTGACCCATCTGTTTGCAAAAAGAAAAATAATATCTTTCAGGTGGTTTGAAACCATGATGCTAGCAAACCAGACTTCCTTGTTATGTTGAAGAAAACAAAATGATATGTGGTAGTAGCTTTGCTAGATCAGGGATGTCAAACTTGTGGCCCGTGGGCCAGATGCGTCACGCGCTGGCTACGACCCACACTCAGTTTAGCAAAGGGGAAAAAGTCATGATACATCAAATAATCCAATAGTGGCCTTGCCTGAACACTGCTTGTAAATCAGAGTAAATAAGATAGCTGCGCAATGTATGTGGAAATTGCTATATGTTTAGCTTAAATATTCAAATAATTCAATGGTGGCCTTAAATATTTTTGGACCAATTCTGTTCTTTTTTGTTTCCATTCAGTCCACATAAATTCAATGTACTGTACATGGTATCTTGAAACCCATCTGTTCCTTTATTTTATTTTACCAGATTTCAGGTGACATTCTTGTGGCAACCTTACATTTTTTAAATCATTTTTTTCTCTCCAAAAAATTACCTTTTAATAGTGGTTTTAGGGATACAGACTTGAGGGAGAGAAGAAAAACTGCTGCCCACAGGTACTGACCTGATGACCCAATGTGGCTTTCAAAGACTTTGATGACAATATATTCATTTGCGTTTAAAAAAGAAATGCTGGGCACAGCTGCTATAGATTTAAAAAAATGTTAGTAAGGGATATGCTAAAGGAGATGGCAATTCTAACATGAGAACAGTTTTCCAATTGCTCTAATGAGGATGGTTTTGCAATAAAAGAATAGATATCTATTAGGGCTCTGTTGTGCTCTGGATTTGAATGGGAAAACTGATGTTAGCCTTTCAAAGTCCCATAGCAAGTGAATGACCTTGCAAACTGAAAAAAAAAAGAAAAAGAAATGTGATTCCAGTGTGCGTGAGCACACACATTGTATCGGTCTTTTGTGTCAGTTCTAAGGAAAAAACGTGATTCCACAGGAGCCAGCCAATCAATATCGTAATAGTCTTTGAAATTTGCAAAATAACTTTTTCCCCTTCAGAGTCTCCATCTCAGTGAATCAGATAAAATGTTAAAGTGTATAATGAGGGAGTTCACAGGAGAGATTCCTTTTTAAAATAGCTAATAGGAATATGTTACATTAAAGGCAGCCTTTTTGTCCAGATTCCCAGGATTTTATAACAAGGATTATTTAATATTAAGAAGTATCAGTCTTTGTGTGTCAATAAGCATTATATTTGGAAATATATATTTTTGTTATATTACTATTATATTTTATTTTACTTTTAATGTATAAACGGAAGGGGAAAAGACCAATGAAGTAAAATAAAAACAAAAGAAAAAAGAAATGTATCTGTTAAAATAAATGTATGTACAAGGTTCTTCTCAATAAATGTCCATTATGAATGCAGGTTCAAGGGAAAGTTTTTCTCAGGCTGTTTGTAACATGTGCATAAAATACTTGCATTCTTATTTATAATGAGTGTTTAATGTACCTGGCTGTATGTTATGAAAAAATTTGTGTATGTATAAAATTAAAATTTTAAAACCAAATTAAACATAATCTCATGACAGTTCTTTAACAGAAAAAAACATTAACTCATGTTTTTGTGTTTTATTGGAGAACTGAAGTAGATAATCTATTGGGAAGACAACTATACTAAAACTCCCATAAGGATCTGGAAATAAAAAGTTTTTTAAATGGAGAGGCAATACAAACGCAATTCTACAATCAACACTGTCCTTCAGATAATTTTTGACTACAGTATATCTCAAGAATAGTGGTTATAGAGCAGATCGGCACAACTAACAGTGGAAAAAGGGGGAACGTTGGTAAATTAAAAATAATAGCTGGCCACAAAGAATATCAATCAGCTATTTGGCAGGTAGCAGACTAATGAGGTGCTGGGGAGGCCTGAAGGCCATCACAGTATGTATTTTGGAATGGTGGTGGCGGCAAAAACACCAAGCACTGGAAATGAATTTGCTGAAGTGATGCCAACGGGCTGCGCAAGATTGCTTGGCAGTTCACGTATATTGTATGGGCCTGACACATGGT